AATCCATTTCGGGTAATTAATCCAGTCGTATGTAACTGATGCTAAACAAACTTCTTTCTAAAGGCACTGATTTCATGCAACACAAACTGCTGTTTTAATTCGCTGTGGGAATAAGCGGAATCATCGGTTCACTGCTACCTGTAGTGTGTGTGTGTGTGTGTGTGTGTTCCTTAGCCTGTGTGTGCCAATGCTTGTCTGTAAAAACAGTTATATAAATTAAACAGTATAATGAAGTTTATTTAATGACATTATTTATTTTACATTCCCTGTGAGGCATTGGAAATAGAAATTTATATATAATGTTTTATTTATTCATATATTTATTTATGTTTTAATTATGTTATGAAATGGATACTACACAGTTTCAATGCGATCCTGTGGTGAACCAGATTAAAAACAAGGCATTTTTTGCGGGTAAACAACCACTAATCGAAAGAAATGTCATTTGAAATATATAATAAGCTAAGTCTACTCAGATGACAAAGGTAATGACAGTTGAAAGATCTACAGTGGTACAATACTTACGCTACGGCATTAACTATACCTTCAGTACGAAATTTCAGTATGTAATTAATGTAATATTTTGTTTATAATTAATAAAAACGGCAAGGGGGGGGGTGGGTAAAATCGACATTAGTCACAAGCGAGTGCATATGTTTCCGTGCAAGTGTGCGCGAGTGTTGGAGCATTGTTGTAAGTTATGAAATAATTGTGAGGTAGCGTTGTAACAGTTTGGTATTTTGGCAAAAAAAATTCTCATTTCTTATAAATAAATGGAGAGAAAAATATATACAAATACAATTATTACAATAAACTTTTTCCAATAATACATAAATATATTGTGAACGGCATGACATGAACTTATTAAATATGAGATTATGAGATTGAAATATGAAAGATCAATTTCCTCGTCACAAGTGCCTTGAAGAGCCGGATCGGACAGCTGTGATAGGACCATTACATACAGTATTGTATGAATTGTGTCGTTATACAGTTGTTTCTTTGTCTCCGTCTCCCTCTCTGATTTTGTCCGTGGTATATATGGTAATTTTTTCACATGCAATATATTTACCATATATTATACTGTACTCTTTCATAATAATTATAAGTATAATGTTAGGATTTGCTTCACTTAAATCATCCTGAATACATACTGCATAAGTGAGGATATTAGAAGAGGATTGTTTCCTTTACATTTATTATACAATTTGACTTATATTCATGAAAATTATATTTATTTCAGTTAACTTGGAAAAATAATATCGATGTGCATTCAGTATGTTACGTTGATTACATAGGGAAATTATTTCTGACACATTAATATTTAGTCCAGCCACCTTCACTCTCGATTACTTGCTGCAGCCTGTTGAGAACGGAGGCGGGGTGGTGGTTGTGTGTCAGTTGCGGTTTCTGCCTCAGTACCTCCCACTCGCGGTGTGTATGCTCCTGTAGCTGCACCCTGGTTCTCTCTTCAGTTGGATCCTACACGCTCACAATATTGGCCTAAACGTTCTCTATAGGGTTAGGTTTGGCCGGACGGCTTGTTGTTGTTGTTAAGGCTAGGAATTTTTTTGGCGTTGCATCAGGAAGGCAAACGCTGTAATTTTACTCTTGGGCAAGAGGCTTATTCGCCGGTAGTAAGGAACGGACGGGCAGCCGTCCATAGCCCCGTCCTTCCTCCTCCGGTTGCGCGCTCTCGCCCGAGTGTGGTCCTCCTACAGCATATTTTTTGTGCGGGAGCCGGGATTGTCATCATTCGCTGCTGGAGTTGCCGGAGCAGAGCCCGAGACCGCCCTCTCTATAGGGTTCATGTCACAACCTTTACCTGGCCAGTCTAAAACTTGCAAATTTCTTTGTTCTGCAAACCACCTTTTTACAATCCGTGCAGTATGGATAGTGTATGTATATTATGTATGCTGTATGTATCTTATGTATGTGCTCCATTTATATACATTATTTATTCAGCCCAGCTAGCAGCGTGTGGCGATGTATTTACCCTGTCCCCCACGCTTAATTAATGTGCCCGGCGACATATGGAAGCTGCTAATGTATCACTTGCCACATGTCGCCTGAAAGGCTAGTTGACCCCCCAGACAGATCAGGGAGAGCCACCTCGCTTGTGTATCTCTGTTTATCCAGTAAATAGAACCTACGAAAACTCTACAGGTGTTTGTGTTCGCTCCTGTAGATAGAACTTGGTACCCAGAACATATACAGATAGGACACCTATCCGGCATGAAAATTATGTTTTCGGGAAACGGGAAAGCATATGCACGTACAGGCGAAGCATAACTTCTTCGAGTATTTCTAAATTCTGTTCAGCTGTGAATCTTCCTTCTATGACCAGTCAGCTCTTCAACTCCGTGCAAATATATCCATCCCCAAACATTGCAAGTCACATGGCCACTCCTTGCTTCCTCATAAATATGCTGTCTAGCATATTGGGTGTTGTTCCTCTTCCAGCAATGCAACCTTCCGTGAGAGGTAGATGAGAAAGTTTTTTCGTCAGTGAATATTACTCATCCCCAGAAATCTAGGCCTTCTTCAGCATACCGTCCAGCAAACTACAACCTGCCCTCGCGATGCCGCTCATTTTACTTCTCCTTGGTGAAGTCTTTGCCCGATTGTTAAAGGGGAAATATTTAATTGGAGATCCTTTCTTATTGAAAATGAAGTCTTGAAGGGGTTGGCCTCAGCGAAATTCCGGATGGCTTCAAATTGTGCAGGTGTTGATCTGCGCGCCATTCCCGTCCTGTGGTGGTCCTTTAAACTTTCTTCCTCTTCCCATCGCTTAATCCGATAATATACAGTTGAACGACAAAACCCCAGTTCTCGGGCAATTTCAGTAGGTGAAAACCCAGCCTCCTCCGTGCCAATTATTCTTCCACATTCAGTGATTTTCTGCATGTGGTATTCCACGTTGGCAGGGGCCTTCTACAATTGAGGGAGTGGAAGGGTAGTCAGCACTGACAACACCTCTGTCTCCCCCACCTTCCCGCCCATAACGTTAGCTTTATATTTATATTTTATTAGGCATTTTATAAAAAAAATAGTTGAATGAATAAATAATTAAATAAGATGCAAATTTATAATACATCATACACATATTTGAAGAAAAAAATAGAATATATATATTTTTTTAAAGACACCAGACTAAAGGTGACGTAATCTACATAAGTCAGAAACAAGGATTTTTTTTTTTTGGTGGGGGGAGGGCAAATAGTCACTCAACGAAAGAAATACCATTTGCTGTTTAAAATATTCAGAGTCTTGGAATGACAGTGATATTGCTAGATAAAGGCTTGCAAAAGTATTAGGCATATGCTACCGCACTAGTTCACACCATCAGACGGATGGTTCGTAAGATTATATACCATCACCTTCAATTGAACAATGTCATTATTAAATACAGACACAGGCTGACACACACACACACACACACACACTTTCCAGATGCGCACACACTCACTCCACACACACACTCACACACTCCACATGCACACACACACACACACACTCCACACGTGCACACACACACACACACACACACACACACACACACACACACACACACACACACACACACACACAATGCATACACACACTCCACATGCACACACTCACACTCCACATACACACACACACACCCCACATACACACACACACACACTACACACACACACACACACACACACACACACACTTATTACAGGTAGCAGTGAACCGATAATTCTGCTTAATTCCACAGCGAATTAAAACAGCAGTTTGTGTTGCATGAAATCAGCGTCTTTAGAAAGAAGACTGTTTAGCATCGGTTACATAGGACTGGATTAATTACCCGAAAGGGATTAAACGTTTCAAGATAATATTAGTATATATTAATAATAAACAGGCAACCTCATAAGCAGCCTGCACACAGCTGTGCCCGATGCATGATGTTCTTTAACATACTTACCGATTTTTTCTTATGTTTAATTGTCTAAACATAAAATCATATAGGTTGGCCCATTACTCTATCCATTTTAAAATCAAATTAACAGTACATACCAGCAGAAAGGTATAATATAATACAAAACAACAAAGCCCAACCATTAATTAAGCAACGGGGAACAATCACCGATCACTTTTACATTCATTCATAATTTTTACTACTTAGTATAGTAAACAAACGGCCTTGAGTGCCAGCTGTCTCCAGCAGTGTTCGAAGAATCTTGAACGAGACTGTACATTCAGGAGCCGGTGCATGCCCAGTACTTGCCAACAGTGCGTAACAGAGACGTGACCGATCACCCAAGCGGCTAACAAGCCGATCATTTGGTGAAGAGGATAAAAGAAAAGGAAAAGTAATCAGAGACGTGACCGATTGCCCAAGCGGCTAACGAGCCGATCAGTGGGAAGAGGATAAAAATAAGCAAAAATTAGGTATTAAGGAGAGTTTTATCCCATTTTGTGGTTCAATCATAATATGTGAAGACAAGTAGTGTTATTAGTATATCCCTATCATATATGTATAACTCAGAAGTAGATGCCAGATATTACTAAGTGTTCAAGACTTTTGATCCTGACTGTACAAGAATATCATCAGCATAGCTGTTTGTGATATTGCTGGAGCTGTCTGGTTATATCCATTTTGGCTAATTCGTACAAAATAAGTTGCCTATTAGCAATATCAAATGCAGCTTTCATCACCATCTGAAGATGTTTTGAATAAAGACGAAAGCTAAGGTGCTCCGTTGTTTCCCTTTTCCCGTGTGATTTTATCAAGGTATAGTTAAAAGTGTATTGATGCAATTATGTGAGACGCATAAAGGGCAGGAGACACACAAAGGGCAGGAGACACACAATGGGCATGAGACACGCACAAAGGGCATGAGACATTGTTTAATGACCCACAAAAGACATGAAAGAGACACGCCAAGTTAAATTTTCTATCATTATGTGAGCTTGTCGTCGTGCACGAAGCTTGAGCATATAATGTTTAAACTCTATCTTCCTGACAGGTTACCCTGAACAGTACCCTCAACAACCATACCCACAACAGCCAAACCCCCAGCAACCATACCCCCAGCAACCATACCCTCAACAGCCATATCCTCAACAACCATACCCTCAACAACCATACATCCAGCAACCACAGCAACAATACATTCCTCAACAAAGGGTAAGTTCCAGCTAGATTTTTCCTTGTTGATTAAGATTTAAAGATATTGAATAACTAAACCCAGCAGGATTACTTCACCCGCCCATAATCACCCAGCAGGACTACTTCACCCGTCCATTATCACCCAGCAGGACTACTTCACCCGTCCATTATCACCCAGCAGGATTACTTCACCCGCCCATAATCACCCAGTAGGACTACTTCACCCGTCCATAATCACCCAGCAGGACTACTTCACCCGTCCATAATCACCCAGCAGGACTACTTCACCCGGTCTTAATCACCCAGCAGGACTACTTCACCCGTCCATAATCACCCAGCTGGACTACTTCACCCGTCCATAATCACCCAGCAGGACTACTTCACCCGTCCATAATCACCCAGCTGGACTACTTCACCCGTCCATAATCACCCAGCAGAACTACTTCACCCGTCCATAATCACCCAGCAGGACTACTTCACCCGCCCAACACCACCGATGAATATTGGGTTATCTGTACTCAATATAAAGTTAATTATTATAAATATTATTACTTGACTAGCAAGCAGGTGATAACTGTGACAATCGGTAACAATACTGTGGGTGTTTTGTACCATCAGTGTCTGGCCTATTGGTGAGAATTTTCACTGTTTTAATATACAGTACGTTTCATTCTGTTTTAGTCGTTATTTTAGGAGAAGTGACAGTGTAGAAGGGTGCGGGTAGGATGATCCATCACCTGATGAAGAGAGGCTGTCTTGCCCACTGCTGCTGAACTTAACTGTTAACGATACACAGCTGATTAATGGTGTTCGTGACAGTGATAACAGACAGACGCGTCACTGTCAGATAATGAGTTGTAACCCGCGACGCAATTATTCCAGCCAGTGAAAGGTGTCGGATACTGTAGACGCTACCCGGTATGTAACTCAAGAAAGGAGCACCAGGCTGCAGACTTCACACAAAATTTTCTATAAATTTCACAATCTACCAAACATTTTCGTGGGTTATATTGTCACCTAAAGTAAAATTTGGCCTCGCATTTTGATCCTGAGTCAACCAAACTATTCAAGTCGTGGATACACCAATTCAAGTGTCTTCAACTCACTAGAATTTCAAGGCAGTTCCATTACAGTGGAAAGGTCAAGATATCGGTTTTCTGGGATGTAGGTGTTATGTAATGAACTACCTACAGAAAACTACCGCCATAAATAGCGTCAGAGTTCCACTTGCCTGCCCATGTACAGTCAGCCAAAGATGCACCGACCCCACCCTAGGTCTCGTGCTCGCAATTTTACCTGGCAATACTTGGTAAAGGAAGGCTGTATGTAAAGGTGATTGCTTTGGGTTGTATCACTGTCAGGATAAATATTAAACAAACCATAGGTAACATTTTTTATAATAATAAGCTATTCATTGTTACTTAAGGTCATGAGAAGTTTCCAAATGTTCGTATGTTTGTTTAAATAATGAATAAAATTTGATGTGAGAATCTTGTGGCAGCTGTAGTTGTAGTTGAGTTGCCAATTCATTAATATAATTTTCTTTATTATTTAAGCAAATATACGAAAATTTGGAAACGTCTCATGACCTTAAATAACAATGAATAGTTTATTTATTATTTAATAATTATCCTGACAGTGATACAGCCGAAAACAATCGACCAATCATAATCACCTTTACATACAGCCTTCCTTTACCAAGTATTTTACTTTTACTTTTATCCTCTTCGCCACTGATCGGCTTGTTAGCCGCTTGGGCGATCGGTCACGTCTCTTTTCATTTATATTCTTCACCAAAAGATCGGCCCGCTAGCCGCCCGGGCGATCGGTCACGTCTGTCACGCACTGTTGGCAAATACTGGGCATGCACCGGCTCCTGAATGTACCTGAACCCGCTCCAGTGTTGGCCAAGTCTTCTCTTGAAAGAGCTCACACTCGGTGCCGTTACAACACTCTCTGGTAGATTGTTCCAAGAGTTTACAACCCTCACTCCGAAAAAGTTTGCCCTCACGGTTTTCTGGACTTGCGGCTTCTTCAATCTTGAGCTGTGACCCCTTGTGGGGCGAGCGTCCGCCAGCTCCAAGTAAGGACACTCAACTGAGTAGTGCCCCCTGAGATGCTTATACACCTCAACTAGGTCCCCCCTTGCCCGTCTGTAGTATAAGCTAGGCAAGTTCAGGTGCTCCAATCTCTCAGGGTAGCTGAGGTGCCGAAGTGCAGGCACCAGTTTGGTGGCCCTCCTTTGAACATTTTCAACCAACTGACAGTCCCTAGCATATCTCGGGGACCAGATGGGGTGACAGTACTCCAGATGGGGAAGCACTTCACTCCTGAAGATCGTCACGAGGGACGGACCGTCTAGATATCTGAACGACCTTCTAATAAGACCCAATAATTTATTTGCCTGATTTACCTTCTTCTCACAATGGCCCGAGAACTTCAGCTCATTGTCAACATACACACCTAGGTCCTTCTCACACAGTCTCAACTAGTGCATTTTCTTCATCCCGTTGGGACATATGATACGCCTCCTTACCGTTGGTACGCCCCAGGTGCATCCTCTTACACTTCGTGACATTGAATCTCAGCAGCCATTTCTTCGACCATTCCTGGAGCCCACAGAGGTCCTTCTGCAGCTCTTCACAGTCCGCTTGGTTCTTAATTTCCCGAAATAACTTGCCATCATCGGCAAACATTTGTATGGAGGAGTGTACAACGTCAGGCATGTCATTTATGAAACAAACAAACAACAGCGGGCCCAATACACTACCCTGCGGTACCCCACTTGTTACAGGTACAGATGACGATTTCGTGCCATTAATCACCACACACTGCTTGCGGTCATGTAGAAAGTCTTCTATCCACGCTAGGACATTTCCCCGAATTCCGTACCCTTCCAGTTTGATTTTCAGCCTTTCATGGGGTACACTGTCGAAAGCCATGGCAAAATCTAGGTAAATATTGTCGATATTACCACCCCGTTCTAGAATATGGGTCCAAATATCCAATACCTTGAGCAATTGTGTTAAGCAAGAGCGCCCCGGCATAAAACCGTGCTGGCAATCTTTTACAAGGTTGTTTCGTAGTAGATGTTCCATCGCGGCATCTCTGATAATACTCTCAAGTACTTTACAAATTATGCTGGTCAGGCTCACCGGTCTATAGTTGTTCGTGGAGTGACTATCGCCCTTCTTGAAGATAGGACTCACATAAGCCACTTTCCATTCACTGGGGACCATTTGTTCATCCAGGCATTTACAAAACAGAATCTTCAGGGGCTCTGCAAGCTCGTTGCACAGCTCTCTTAGCACTCTAGGATGCACCATGTCAGGTCCGGGACTCTTGTGGACCTTTAGCCTGGACAGTTTATTTCTAATACCCTCTTCTGTGAACACAATGTGGGTCATTGCTGTGTCGAACCGTCTGTCCTCAAACGCAGGAAGGTTAGTTGCATCCTCTCTTGTGAACACTGAGGAAAAGAAGCTGTTCAATGCCTCAGCTTTATCCTGGACAGAATCTGCGTAACTACCATCCTCAAGCCTCAGGTCTGATACTCCTACTCGCGTTTTCAATTTCGACTTTGCATAGCGGTAAAACGCCTTTGGGTTTGACTTGACCTCGCGTGCAACCAGCCTCTGGAACTCCTTTTCAGCCCTCCTACACTCTATCTTTGCTTGGTTTCTGGCTCTTGCATACATCCTCCTGTCTTGCTCATCGTTTGACCCAACCCACGTCTTGAATTTCTGGGTTTTCTTCTTAATTTTGTCGACCGCCGCATGGTTCATGTGTAGGGATCCCCTCGTATTCCTAGAAGCACTGGGTTTGGTCTTGGGTATATATTTATCGATCAAATGGGTCATTTTACTAGTTATGATATTCAGCGTAGTGTCTGCGTTCTTGTACCTTAATAAGTCAGGCCAGTTGATACCCCTCATCTCTTCCCTCATCCCATTGTAATTTCCCTTGTAATATTTGCACCTTGGCCTGGCCTTATCTTGAACTAGGTAACAGTTAAATCTGAATGACAACACTGTATGGTGACTGGTGCCAACTGGGGCAAGGTGTTCCAGTTTGGCCACCATACCCTCCTCGTTTGTTATGATGAGGTCAAGTGGCTTGGGTGTTTGCTCCCCTCTGTAATGTGTCGGGTCTCTCACATGTTGGAACAGAAAATTATCTCTCAGAGTTTCTACAAAAAGAGTAGCAGGATTATTCAAGTCATTCGGGGTAGACTCGTTTCTCCAGTCAATGTCGCCATAGTTAAAGTCCCCCATGATAAGGAGGTGGCTGGGGTTGAGCATCGCCGCATTGTTTATTAAGGTTCTTAAGTTCCTATGATTTAGTGGGCCACAGTTTGGGGATCTGTAGATACACCTGACGATAAGTAAGTCCCCTCCCTTTAATTTAATTTTACACCACTTGGACTCTTCAAAAACATCCTCTCCCTGTACCCTCGCCTGGCTGGCTCTAAGGTCTTGCCTAGCGTAGATAACCACACCCCTCCTGCAGGATTCTTGAGTTAGGTTCGTAAATGAGTCATATCCAGCAATACTGAACTCACATTCCTCTGGGTCGATTCTCCTGTTCTTGTACAACAGTTCTACAACTCCTACAATATCTGGTTGGTGTACTCTTAGTAGTGTTTCAAACTCCTCTCTCTTATCAAGGAACGTGTCAGTATTAGTGTACATGACATTCAAACCAGAATTTGTTCTCGGTAACGTCTCTGCTCTTAGTAATATACCCTGCTCCACCCACATTCTGAGAAGCCGCAGCATTTGCTAAGTACACTGTATTTTGCAGGGTGTGGTTAGAAATGTCATTGTTTACACGGCGCTCGTTCCCTCCTGTCCGGTAGGCTGAGCTGGTGCCGCCTCCCGGGTGGGGGGTTGAGTGGGTGGAGGGTGCACTGCTGCCCCCTGGCCCTGTGTCGGCACACTTGTTTCCACTACCCTCCCCCTGAGTATAACCCATGTACACCTGTCCCCGTTCCTCCTCGACTCCTCCCTCTTCTGCTT